CAAGTTGTTGGGCCGTGGAGGCACAGGATTCTGGGTACGAGGCCCGGGATGGATGAATATCTTGCCTAACTGGTGTCGAATGGTCCGCTGGAAACTGACCAAACCAATTCAACATGGTTCGGGCAGCCATGTTGGGTTGCTGTGTGGCACTTGAAATCCCGAAGTCACGTGTGGCGGAAGGGTCACAGGCAAAATGATTCCATGAATTGGATCGGCTCGCTACGGGTGGCGGGTTCGGGGAACACCTCACGAGCTCCGTTGAGCGAGCTATATAAACACAAAACCAATTGATTCACATATTCCAGCGAATTCCCCAACGATTCCGAGAGGTTCACAGCAGCAGAGGCCTTCAAGAAAGCCATGCACCAGTGAAACCGCAAGGAGCGATCGGACAAAAATGTGTCTGTTTTGGTTAAAAAGAGCGAGTTCCTAACACGACCCTCTATTGAATGTCTGCCTACTGCCCTGGGTGAGGCGAGGAGGGGTTATCCCGGCCGTGACGCTCCGGTGCCGCTCACCCCGAGCCCTGGGTGAGGCGGGGAGGAGTTATCCCGGCGGTGCCGCACCGGTGCCGCTCACCCCGAGCCCTGGGTGAGGCGAGGAGGGGTTATCCCGGCCGTGACGCTCCGGTGCCGCTCACCCCGAGCCCTGGGTGAGGCGGGGAGGGGTTGTCCCGGCCGTGACGCTCCGGTGCCGCTCACCCCGAGCCCTGGGTGAGGCGGGGAGGGGTTATCCCGGCGGTGCCGCACCGGTGCCGCTCGCCCCGAGCCCTGGGTGAGGCGGGGAGGGGTTGTCCCGGCGGTGCCGCACCGGTGCCGCTCACCCCGAGCCCTGGGTGAGGCGGGGAGGGGTTGTCCCGGCGGTGACGCACCGGTGCCGCTCGCCCCGAGCCCTGGGTGAGGCGGGGAGGGGTTGTCCCGGCGGTGACGCACCGGTGCCGCTCGCCCCGATGGACATCGAACGGTGCCGGACATCGACGCTCGGCCGACGACAGATTGGGCTGTGATATGAACGCGCGACACGCACGGCTTACGTAACACCGGCACTTTGGCGGGCGTCACGTCAGGCAACACCTGCCGACTGCGTAGATGCTGTTCGGAAAATTGCGTAATGGTACTGGTGCGGCCAAGCGGAAGGGGCCGCCTCCACTTCGGCACACATTCATCTGTTAGAACTTATGACAGGATCCTGATGGGAAGTTAACATGCGCCCGGGTGGCCAGTTATATACCCTTTGCTCGGGTGGGGGGGGGGGGGCAATTTGACCCGCTGAGATCTCAGGAACTAAGAGAGCTTGAGACGCCGGATTCACGGGGTGTGTTGACATGTACGTGGTCTTATTGGGTCAAAGTTTGAGGTTCCTAGGTTATGACCTTCGGGCCACATAAGGTCAAACAAGGCAAAAGTTCAGGTTGGTCTGCAAAGCGCCCCCTCCTTACGCTAGGCAGTATAACCCTAAAAATAAAATTTTGACCTGGGTCATTGCAGGTCAGTGACCTATTCTGATCTTTAAAAGTATATGGAAGCTGCATAATGCGGTTCCTGTTATCAATCAATTCGAAATGAGCACCATAAATCACCTCATGCATCAAGCCCTAGAGGCATAAAACAGGTTGATTTTGAAGATGGTCTGATCTTCATACCTGTCCTTAGGTCAATACAATTTGTTCATTCATTTATTGTGTTGCCTAATTAAGTATCTCAGAGATGTATGGCTTCGTCTCTTACTCCGTTGTTGGATCGGACTGAACGATTCCCTCAAAATTGCCTTTGCTGAAACCATGACCTGAATCTGACCTGCCATAGGTCAGCAACCTTACAAGACACATATAAACTTTTGTTGCCAGACATTCGGCTGTTTAATTGTATACAACTGTATAAAAATTTGACGCGACTACGCCGCGCCGTTCGGAAATCATTTTGAAAAACCTTCGGGGGGGGAGTCAATTTGACACCTCATACGGGCGCATGTTAAAAAGGCGAGATGAGCTTAGCTCCGGTCCCGCGCCGCTGAAAAATCCTGGCTGCAAGACTGCGTAGAGGCGAGGGTGGTATGATATTAAGTGTGGTCGTTGGATGTCTTCGACTAACCTGATGCGACCATCGCCAAAACCTTGGCTCGTGCGGTGAATCTCACGTTATCTGAGGCTGCAAGCGCATCACCCATATTACCCTCATTAGTATATATATATATATATAATTATATATATATATATTATATAAATATATATATATATATAATAT